AAAGATTATATTTTGCATTTCATGACAAAATAATCACAGTTAATTTTCGTTTGTAAAAATTGCTCTTTTGAGTATATGTAGAAAATTTTATTGTCTTTCAGACTGTTTTTAGTTCGTATTTCTATGTTGCATAGAACAGAAAATATGCATTTTTTATGGAAAGTTTGCAATGTTAATTAATTAGGGCAATTTAAATACCAGCAGCAGAGGGCTCCCAGCAATTTAAAAGTCCGCATGTTAAAGGTTAAAAGCCACATGTTCCACAACCTAGCACACCTAGTTACTTCGCTACAAACATTACTAGACTAGAGGTGATGTATTCAAAGGGATGGGAGAAGATGACAGACTTAGTTTGCCCTTTATATTGTGCCTTCATTCCAAACATTACTAAACAAAAGAGAATTTGCTCACCTTACTGCCGCTATGCTAAATGTGGTCCTAGAAACACTTCACAAACTGCAACTATGTAACATATTGAAGAGTAGGCTAATGCTTCTTTTTGGGCACAAGAGAATAACCCTTCGTAAGTGTGCTAAGCACTTCTGCCATAAGGTCAAGTAAATTATATATTTGAATTTATGGTACACGTACTGTACAGTCCACACAGAGAGAAACATTTCCATAAACATACTTTGGGAACAGTTGGTCACGTATCACAGAAAAAACAGCATGCTATCACCCATATATAGGTAATGATGTTAGTAACATATTGTTTTTACACGCAAAAAGGAACAATCTTATGTTGTTAAAAAATTTAATAGTTTCTTTCAGTGTTGAATTTGAGGATTTCACAGCAGTGACTACATGCTGTACAGTCCCTGGGTTGAACACTGTGTAGTTCAGTAAGCTACACCAATGCTTGCAAGAAATGTATTGCTTCCATCTACTTGATGCTTGTTTTTTTGCTTGGCTTAATCTTTGACCCTGAAGACAGAAGCATTATGTTCCCCAAAGTATCAGTGAATTTTACTGCACTACATGTCATTACAACTCAGAAGGCTGCATCCTTTATTAGTGTCTGGAAAATTTATTCTGCATTCTGGTGGTTTATCTTTGGTTAGAACTGTTAAGTAAACACCTGGGACATAACTATTTTTCCAATATTATGCAAACAAGAAATTTAAATGAGAATTAAATTCTGTCTATGGCCAAGATAATGGTCTGATTTAAATACCTATCCTGAAAAAGGAAGGATTAAATTATTTCAGATGGTAACATGTGTTACTGCTATGCATTCCCAACAAGTTAACCACATTGTGTTATGAGGCTAACTACAATTAAAACAGTGAGAATAAGACTAATGACCTTACAGTATTTCTAATTAATGACCAGTTGTGAGATATGACAATTTCATATCACCGAGTATCAAGATTATGGTTTTCTGGAATGTGACACGTGATGTTGCATAGTCAGGTGCCATTCTTCAAGGTACTTCCAGAAAACAACAATCTTAATGCCCAAGGGGTTTAACCCTTCCCATGCCGCAAAAACACATCAAAATTCCCAAGCCCTCTTCACTTTCTTCAGCTGTAATTTAAAAATTCCTGTTTTTCTAATAATAGAAATGAAATATGGTAAATACCCACCTCCTATCATCTAAAATCAATCACAAGAACTAAACTAATAGCGACAGAAATGAATTGCAGATTACTGAACACATCAGATACAATATGAAGAGGCAGGAAGGTTCTTGTGGAATATGTCTGAAACACATGCATGAAAAAACTCGAATGTAGAACATATCATATATGACACGGGAAGCATTAATTGCATACCTGGGAAGAGGAGCACTTCTGTACACCATAGATGGGGGGAGGGGGTTAAACACACACACACATATACTTTGAGCCAGGCTAATTAAACACAAAATGTCATTTGTACTCAATAAAATTCTGTTTTAAAAAGATTCCAAAGTCAAACCATAAAAAATAAGTCACCTTTTCTCTCTCTTGTATAAATAATAAATACTTTAAAATACACACTACTAAACAGTGTCTTTATGCCATGAATAAAAATTGTATGACAGGAAATTATGGCAATTAAATCTCACCTCCTTTCATTAACAGACTGGATTTCGGTGATAATTTCAACGTCACTGTCTGCATCACTATTTGCACCAATGTCCGTGGTTAGCTCATGTGTCAGCACACTATCAGTGGACTTTCGCATTACATTTGGGTTAATTTTTATCACATGGGATCCTATTTCAGTATCACTTACAACACCCACCTTTTTCTGAGTATAAACATCAGCTTCAGCAGTCAGGGTCTTATTCCCATGACTGACCCTGTCTATATCTGTGACATCAGGTGTAACAGATGCTGGTAAACATATTTTTGGGACAATGAAGGTTTGCTGATAATTAGAATTCTGAATGACAGCAGAAATAGACAGCTGATTGGCTCCTGTTAGAACTGGATTTGTAACAAGAACTCCAGACTGCACTGCCATCCTAACACCTTGAGAACTCTTGTTCATGCTTGTTACTGTTTTCACCGCACTGCTGTTTATGACATGAATATTTTCAGCTTGAGTTGACGGGAGAAGAAGTGCTTGACGAACAAATGGAGGCCCTTGATTAGTAGCTACTTTCTTCCTTGGAGTAAGAGTGGATTCACTAGAGCCCCTTTTGAGACTAGAAGATCCACTGATGAGGATCAGCTGATTATGAGGTACTGTTGTGTGATGCTGTTGGACCAATGGAGCAGATGTGGTAAGCTGTGTTGATGGCAGCAGGCAATTTGTGTTTCGAAGTGCAATAATTTGATGTTGTTCTGGTTGTGTAGCAGATGATAGTGGAACACTGGATCCTAGAAACATATTAGCCACTTTAAGTTACACTGTTATTAACAGACAGGCTAGTGTGACCAGTCTCTACTAGGTGTTATTGGAAAGTTCTCGGACTGTTATTGCTGTAACTGCCTCAGTCAAAGAAGATGAGAGGGGAGGCCAAGGTCACACTTCCAAAAGCCTATCGCATCAGTCTGAAACATTACACCGCACTGTGAACAAGCATTGGTTTTACACGAGTGCTTTTCTGACTTCATGTTTCGTTTTGTTCACAAGAATGGCAAAATTGAGCAATGTGTCTGCATCAAGTTTTGCGTGAAGCTTGGTAAATCCACTGCCAAAACCTTTGAAATGCTTCCTGAGGCTTTTGGAGCACATTCTTTAGGTAGGACAACAGTTTTTAAATGACATTCACGTTTCAAGGCCAGTCAAGTGTCAGTTGAAGATGATGAATGTTCAGGGTGGCCAAGCACCAACAAAACGACAGAAAATGTTGAAAAAATTTGAGAACTCATCCATGAAGACTATCACAAAACAATCCATGAGCTCGCAGACACCGCTGGGAACAATTATGGAGTTCGCCAGGAGATCTTAAGAGAAAATTTGAACATGCTCCGCATTGCTCCTTCATCACAACAGTGCACTGGGCTTAGCCCCATGTGATTTTGCTTTGTTTCCCAAATTTAAAATGAAACTGAAGGGATGACATTTTGAAACAGTGTCTGATGTCCAAAGAGAATCGCAAGCAGTACTCAACAACATTAAGGAAATTACTTCCACAGTGCTTTTGAATCATGGAAAAAATGATGGGATTGCTGTATACATTCCCAAGGAGACTATTTGAAGGAGATGGCAGCCAAAATTGAATAAGTTAAGTCAGCATTTCTTTTTTGACCTAGTCCGGGAACTTTCATGTGTGTTGACAGCTTATAATCACAAACACATATTTTACTGTTTCTTCAACACAGAACGATGGTTGTGCATATGCAAGAGTTTTATGTATCATGGTGGCTGAACCAAGTACCATTTCTTATGGTATGCAGAAGGCATTCCATGCTTCCAACCTGACTGTTGATGAAGTGAACACAATTCTACAGAACCAAGAACTGGGGAAAGTGGCACAGAACACTGACAATGAGTCATATAGAGATACTAACAGAGAACCAGAAATTGACAGATACAAAATTGGTGATGTTGAGGACTGATTATGTGCAGTGAATGTGATACTGGACTGTGAGTGGTTCCCTCCTTCAAGCAATTCCACACACAGAAGATAGTTTTAAAAAAACAATAAGCAAGAATTTTACAGTGCAAATTATTGCTTTCAATATAAAATGATTCCAGGAGGGTGGTTTCCTAAAGGTGACTACTTTCTATCATAAAAATCTAGTCTAAGCAGCTTTAATATATGAAACTGAACTAAACTGAACTGACTATTGGTATTATCTACATGAATAACTATTCACCACTCATCCAAAGTGAATGAGTCATTCAGTATGCAATTTGATGTTGTGAAAATTTTCTGAAAATCATACTGGTGTTAGCATTATGGTATTAGTAGCATAAGAGACTTGCAAGTGACCTTCAACCCTATTAACATACATTTACAAGGAAGTGTGACAAAACAGGAGCCAGCTGTAGATATATCATACAGCGATATAAGCACTTAGTATACAGTTCCAGCAAGGATTGTGCTACAGTTCGAGGAAGATGCCTTTTACATTCTACATAACACTTCTTGGTCTATATTTTAAAAGTGCAATACTGTTTCAGAAAACACAGAAAACAATTTCATGCATCCAAAACAAGTAACAGGTGATTATTTCATAAATTATAGAAAGTTGAAGTTTAGTGGGGAACAGGGGATAAAGTGCATGTAGAGAAATTGACTGATACTTTTTCATCTGCCTTTTGTTTTATGAATTTTGAACAAAAAATAGCCTAAATATAGCCTAAATATAAACTTTCATCAATGCAAAATATGCCAGAACATGTGATACACATACGAGAACATACGTAGAACCATTGAACGAAGCATAAGAGGCTTCAGCTTGGCTGCGGTCAGGCAGGCGTACGACCGTTGTAGTGACTGCTGTTTCGGAGTGGCATAATCTGCTACACAGGCGTGTACTGACAGGTCTCCTGTGTACGTCTCGCATAAATGTTGTTCATTGTAGTAAAGTGGCAGCGTGTATGGTGTTCATACATTTCCAGTGCCCGAACCTGGACGCTGTGTGAACACGGCTACACCCATGATGCAACAGACGTGGCGCCTGGTCAGACAGACCAAACCCCTCTTGTTGTCGAAGAGGAGACCACATTTCCATACACACAAACGGTCTTGGAATTAACAAAAATTTGGTAGTGTGTCCCAACAGGACCCGAAACCTTTGCAATTCTGCATACTGAGAAACTCAGTAACTTACAATTGACTTCCAGAGCATTTTGCAAAAATGTGAACAACTTCCTGTAGGTGACGATATGGCATAATAATACTGGATACTGGTATAACACTGAAGTCATACATTAAAAACCAGCTGTAAAAGCTTAAAGGAAACAATCTGTTTATGTGCTATGAGTTTCTATTTCTTAAATTCTAGATAACATGGAATTCATCATTTTGATACAAATCACATACGTGTATAAGAATCTGTACAGCAAATGAACAACATTCTATACGTGGTGTGTTCAAAAAGTATCGAACCTTTGGTCGGCAGAAATACATTTATTGATTTGGAGGTACAAAACCCTAATCCCCTTCAAAGTAGTCTCCTTGGTAATGCACACACTTCTCCCAGTGCTTCCGCCATTGTTGGAAACACTTCTGGAACGCGTCTTTTGGAATAGTGATCAGCCGGGCCGTCGCATTTCGCATGATGTCTTCTCTTGACTCAAATCAGGTTCCTTTCAGCGGCATTTTCAGCTTGGGAAATAGCCAAAAGTCACACGGAGCCATGTCGGGGGAGTAGGGAGCCTGACGAACCACAGGAATGTTGTGTTTGGCAACGAAAGTCTGAATCAGATGCGCAGAATGGGTGGGTGCGTTATNGGCATTACTTCTGCTCCATTGTTAGCAGTCTCGGTATGAATTTCGCGGACACTCTCCTCATGCCCAAATCCTTGGACAAAATTGAATGTACCGATCCAATGCTTACCCCTGTCTCGTTCGCAAGTTCTCGGACTGTGATACGACGGTCCTCCAGGACCAAAGTCCGCACTTGCTCAATGACATTCTCATTTCGGCTTGTTGAGGGTCTGCCTGAAGGCGGTTCGCTGTCCACTGATGTGCGGCCATCTTTGAAGCGGTTGTACCACTCCTTTATCCGTGAGTTGCTCATGGCATCGTCCCCGAAAGCCTGTTGAATCTTGCGAATGGTTTCCACTTGGGTATCGCCAAGCTTTTGGCAAAATTTGATGCAATATCGCTGCTCATGTTGTTCCGTCATTTTACACCTTACTGTAATCCGACGAGGGCTCACTACACGTCCTCACTCATAGGCCGACTGCCAGCGACTGACGCTTTCTGCGGGCGGGAAAAAATTCACGACTGCGCATGAATGTCCCCTCCACATCTCCATCGAAGGGAGCCTCCCGCGCTTCATTGGTTTACGCGGGAAAAAAAAGGTTCGATACTTTTTGAACACACCATGTATACTGTTTCACATTTCCATAAATGTGGCATACTATCAACAGACATTACATTTCATCAATAATTCTACTGTACTCTTCCAGGTAAAAAAGAATTTGTTACAACTTCAACTAACCTTGTGCCATAGCCTGTGTCACAGGACAGTCCTTATGTGCTAGTAAGAGAGTCTTCAGATCTGCCACCTCCTTTCGCAGTGATGCCACTTCTGATTGCAGCTGCTGATTAGTTGCCAACATCTCCTCTGCTCTTCTCTCCAGTTCCTGGATCCATGTTTTTCGCTTTTCTCTGCACCTCATTGCAGCAGCTCTGCATGAATTTCAACATACAAAACATACAGTATTTATATTGGGGAAGTTTTCTACACCCATCATGTAAAAGAAAATTGGATGGTCATGTCCATCAATTCAACTCTGTTTTATCTCACATTACACTGGATTTTGATAAGAACTGGTATTAAGAGCTGTATTTGCTCCATATCAGTTGATACATACATTCAAATTCCAGCCTGTGTTCGATCCCGGGTCTGGTCAAGTAGGATTTGTGGTGGACAAAGTGGCGCTGGGGCAGGTTTTCTCCGAGTACTTCGGTTTCCCCTGCCAATCTTCATTCCACCAACTGCTCCACAATCACCCTCACCTATCATCTGGGGCTGGTACAATAGGCCAGAAGTGGCTCCAGTACAAGGGACTTGGTCCCACCCCACTAGCATTAAAAGAAAATACTCTCAAGACATATACATTAACACATGTATGCATTTATATGTCCACTACTGTTACTATTTTAACCAAAACTGGAACATGATGACAAATTTTATTGCTAGACTTGGAAAAGCTAATAGGTGGATTTGCTGACATTTATATATGAGTATACTTCATGCACATATGCAGAAGGGAAGACAACTAATTGTAAGTTTTATCAATATTTATTCATAAAATATTCCTTCTTAAATAAAAAGAAAATTGTGTTGATGAATTCAAAAGTACTGCACTACTACCACCTAATTTAAGTGCTGGAATGGTAAAAATTCAAATATCTTTCTTTTAGGCTAACCATAGCAACCACTTAAGGTGGAATATGATGAAACAGCTTTTTAAATTGGATTTTATTAAACAAAGAGTTCATGGTGACAGTTGATAGCTTTGCTCTGCCTTACCCTGCAGATATAACCCTACATTGAGATGCATGTACACTTCAGCCTTGTCACAAACACGTCAATATATTTAAACTAGGCATGTGCAAGGAAGAGTCTTCTAGTTTGATGATAGATCAAGATCTTCTCTGCTAGATCAAATTTTTTACTGCTATTACTATTTGTAACACTACAGCCACGTTTTCACATGACACTGAAGGGCTGCTTATCATTTTTGACATCAGATCCTTTTTCAATGAAACATTTTCATAAATCATTTTATTTATCCAATTCTAGGTCCATGTCCTTTTTCACCATGGGCAGAAAGGAGGGAGGGAGGGGGAGAGAGATTTTGACATGTTCAGTTGTGCCAGTGTTGCCAGCTATCACAATTCCAAGAAACTGGGTATTTTGCACACATTTGTACAAAGCAGTTATCTGAAAACTATCGAAGTTTCAGACAGAAAATCAACATTAAAATTAAGACTAAGTTCTTTTACCTCAATCTGCTCTAAAAATTTCAGTTTCATATATACCTAATTTAAATTTTTAGAGAAAAATACCTCACTCAGCAACCATGATAATACATGCCTATTTCTCTCAAGGAACTTCTGTCTCTTTTCGCCTGGATCCTCGTTCCCACTAGATGAAGAAGCTCTCCTTGCTGGTGTAACACTGGCAGGACTTGTGGCATGAGTCTCAGGAACTGCCTTGCTAACTTCAGACCTTGAGACCTGATGGACAAATTATGTATTTTTCAATTTATTTGATAATGTACCAAATGTGCAGGTTATGTGAAGTGGTAGGGTGATCACGAACCAAGAAGACATATGGGAGTGTGGAGGCAGAGCTCCAAGTATTCTTAACCTTGGCGCTAGATGGAGGTGTGATATAAGTATCAAGAGTCTGGGGAAATTTTAGTATGGGAAAATGCAGTTAAAAATTTGAGGGTTCTTCAAATGAAACCAATTCATAGCACTGTTACCAAATACAACCAGTTACAGGTGATCATGTTCATATGGCTGTGTGTATGACACATCAGCAGTTAACCATGACCCATGCCACAGAACAGACACACTGAGCAAACAGGAACAGTGTGACATGGTTAAATGCTGGAATTCCAGCAGCATCTCATGTTCACATGGCTGTGTGTATGACACATCAGCAGTCAACCATGAGCCATGCCACAGAACACTGAGCAAACAGGAACAGTATGACATGGTTAAATGCCGGAATTCCAGCTGCAGAATACATCCAAACAGAACCAACAAGCTGTCCTTCAGCTCCTTAATGCTGGGAGTTGTAAACCAGTGCTCTAAGACAATCTTAACAACCGTCAGTAAAATGTGTCCTCGCATGCTCAAGAGGGATATTTTCATGTTGTACTAAAATGTCTGTCTCCATGTGGCCTACAATGTGCTCCACATGGTGGAAGTGTTGAACCATCCCAATGGAGCCCAAACCTGTAAATGTGTGACTGTCATGTGTTTGATCCCCTCAAGAAAGGGCCTAAGGGTCACAGATTTGGGCTGGACAGACATCAAGCTGTGATGGTGAAGTGGTTTGAGCAGCACCCCAGGGAGTTCTCTGCAGAGGGGATCCACTGGCTGGTGTGGCACTGAATGCCTGCCTTAATGCCTTGATCACATTTCATTTCACCATCCCTTGTATGAATAAGAGTTATGGGTCTAATTTGTAAATTTAAAATTATTGCTAAAAGTTTCTTTGCCTTTCTTTTTGTGTGCAAGTCATTAGGCCATTGGTACTTACCACATTTACTCATATACATCCAACCTGACTCCCCTCTGAAACCTGTACACTCTTTTAGTACTGTAAGCTTGGTTATGAGGAAGTAACACATGTTAGCAACCAAAAACAGGGAAAGCTTGCATAACATGCAATGTACTCAAGATCTACAGAGAGTTATGAACAGTCCACCCTGGGTGACTCAACCATGTACTTGTTTCACATAATCAGATGATGATAATGACTTGCTCACTGATTCTTAACATGTACAATAATACCTTGAATTTCATCACATAACCTTTTGACTCCAAAGTCCCAACACAGAACTACAGTATTAATAAAATTGGATACAATAATATTAATTATATTAAAATACTTGACATAAAAATACAATAAATTAGATTATATAAAACAAAAGTTATACTATAAAACAAGACTGAAACCAGGCACTGACCTTCATATTGTTGTGTTATGACGGTCTTAATAAAGAAGGGATAAATACAGTTGCACAGAAAAACCCACAATTCTTCCTCAGATTAAACTCAAAGAACCACAGGTTTAGACAGCATGAGAGCCTGTTCCTTCCCCTAAACATAGATATACTACACTTGTTGCCACATGTTGACAAAAATGCTGTAAAATAACATTAAGTATGACAGACTGCACTTACTTTTGCTGAGGACTGCTTTTGTATTGATTCCTTGACAGTTGCAGCAGTCCGGTTATTGCTTATCAGTGTCTGCTTCAGTCGCTATAATCAAGAAGAAATTCTATAATAAATAGCAACACTTAATTTATATCTGTATTACTGTCAAAACCTTAGATAGGATATGTTTTGCTGATCATTTACAAATGTGCTCCATTTTTTTTTAAGCTGTAAGCATCTTTGCTTGAAATTTAACTCTTCTAAAGCTAAGCTTCATTCTAACCGTTAGTAAAAGAATGCATGAAGTCACAGGGTTAATTAGAGAATCATATCTGACATTTTATATTACTGCATGTTGCACTTCATGCCGACAGAGGCAAAAAGATATGCCATTGGTGGCAAGAAACATAAATGTGTCACATCTGAAAAGCTGAAGTGAAAAATTCACATAGGTTGTATGGCCTCATATGTATATATCTGAAAAATGGAACACAAAATTATAAGTGGATAAAGCAAACAAAAGTTCTTGAGATCATGATAAGCAAAATGTTCACTCAATTACTGACTTCTAGTTTTCACATACTGAACAATAACAGTGTTTCAAAATTCCTTCTGCATCATATCACAATTTTTAGTCACTAAAAAAGAATTCTGAATCATGCCAGGTTTCATATGATGGGGTACCCAAAAGAAACCGAACTAATTTTTTTGTGGGCAGAGATTTTGTAGTACTGCGTTTTGCCGCTATGAGCGCATAGAGCTAACATTCCTGAGTCGATAAGCCGACTACCGTTGCTTCAGAAGGTAAGAACTAGTTTCGGCAGAGTTTATAGTGACAACTGTTTTGTGTGATCGTTGTTTTTGCAATGGCTGATTTTCGTGAACAGCGTGCGGTGGTGAAATTCTGCTTTTTGCTAGGGAAAAGTGGAACAGAAACTCTTGAAATGTTAAAAACGGCATACAAGGATGATGCTATGGGGAAAACTCAAGTGTTTGAGTGGTTTTCCCATTTCAAAAATGGTGAACTGTCAATTGA